AACCTGAGCACATCAGGTGGGCTCAGAGCTGGTGCATGAGCCCCACAGCCTGCAGAGCAGCCCTGGACTCAGGAACCCGCTCGCACCAGCCCGGTGGGACTTCAGAGATGTGGGTCCAGCCTCTCCTACTATTGCAGGGCTGAGGGCTGGGAGCTGCAGATTCTTACTCCATAACTGCCTTAGACATGCCAGATGGGCTGGGGCAAGACACACCCCTCTCTATGAAATGACCAGTCAGTCCAAATAGATGCACTAAAGAAGGGCTGTGGGATGGACCCAGCTGTAGCCTGGGGCTACAGACAGGCTTCCAGGGTACTCAGGCAGCTGGCCTCTGGGGTAGCAGCCCCGGGTGTGAGAGGCAGGACTCAGAATCTAGGCCAAGCCTCCACAGGAATCCCCTCTGGAGAGCCCGGGCACTCTGCAGGAGGGGCAGCAGGCAGCAGGTGCACCAGGAGCACGTTTCACAAGGTGCCCCATATTGCATCTGCTCAGACAGGCAGCGAGTTGGAAAGTGGACGCAGTAGGCAGGGTGGCGGCTGCTCCCCACAGCCAGGAGTCCAGCCCAGCACCCACCTGAGTCCACCTCAGTCCTGCTCAGTTGGGTCATCCATGTTCTGGGCCCTCTGGTCCCACCCACAGAGGGAGGGCTTTGGGGCGACCAGGTGAGCTGGCCCTTGTGGGAGGATGTAACCGACTCCTGAGCCTGGCGAGCCAGGCAGCCTGGCACCAGCATCCCCACCCCCACCTCTCCAGCCCCCTCATTCCCTGATCCTCCCATCCGCCCCCTGCCCCAGCGGTTTCCTCTGCTCACGCTCATCTCTTCTCCTGCTCCCAGGCTCGCCTGGTCAGTGTCCTTCACTCTCCTCTGAGTCTCCCTCTTTCCAAGCCGCCTCCACTCTACTTGACACATTCTCCTTTAAGACACCAGAGTACACAAGCTCAAGTCCCTGCACCTCACCTTTACTCCCAGACATGGGAGGGAGATGACATGAAGAACCAAACGCCACTTGGCAAGGGCTCTGGGGTACACAGAGGGGCAGATCTGAGGCTGTGGAAGCTCCAGGGACTCCCTGCAGGAGGCGGCATTTCAGCTGGCTATTGAATGTGGCTCTGAGCTGACACCTCTCCTTGAAGCTCCAGACCAGGAGCCAGCTGCCAGCTGGACCCTCCATTTGGTGCCTCAGAGAAACCTTGCACTCTGTGGGTCTAACTCTGAACCCAGAAAAATCCCCCCATCTCAGCCCTGTCTCTTCTTAGGCAAAGCACCACCTCAGACCCAGTTGTGCACCACACCCACATTTGAGTCAGGGGCTCCTGCCCCGCACTGTGAGCGCCCTGGATAAGCCAGTGCCGAGGGGGAAAGAGCTCTGAATGCCAAACTGTGGGTTTCAACTCCACCTCCAGCTCTGACAGCTGTGGGCAGGGAAGGGCGCTAGTCCAGTGTGCTGTAGAAAGACCAGTCTGCCACTGTACGGCACATGGATGGCGGGGGCAGAGTGCGGGTGGAGAGAACAGAAGGTGGACAGGGCAGGGGAGGCAGGGACATGGCTGCAGCCGTGGAGATGGGAGGACAGACAGGACTTGGTGGCCACTTGAATGAACCAAGGGAGAAGTCTGGAAGAGACACCCAGTTTTGTATCAGATGTGTGGAGCGTGGGATGCTGTTCACTGATCGAGGGAGGAGCAGGAGGAAGAGGTGTGGCATGGGAGGAGGTAGCTGAGCTATTCATGAATGAATAACCATACATGAATGTCATTTGAAGTCCCCACGGAGAGCCAGAACCCCAGCAACTTCACTGCTTCAGCTGGCCCTCAGGGTGCCTGTGCTCCCTGGCCCTCTCAGTTCCCACTTTGTAGCTGTCAGCTGCAGTGGGGGACAGTTGCACAAGGGCCCAGCATGTCTGTGTTCTTAGCCAGGGGACTGCCGCGTGGCCCATGCTGAGCAGAAGCTGATGGATGACCCTCTGAACAAAACACATTACAACATCCTGATCCACCCAGCCACCAACTCCTCACAGCTCATCTCCATCGAGACGGAGCTGTCCCTGGCCCAGTGCATCAGTTGGTAGGTGCAGAGGACACCTGTGGCTGAGGCTCAGGTGAAGAGGCAGCTCATGCCCAAGCCCCAGGCAATCAGTGTCCGGAGGAATGAAATGACTAGAGTTGACTTAGACTCACCAATGCATGGCGGGAGGCTGGAGGAGGGTCCATGAGGTTTATAGGTTTCCAATATTTAATGCGGTCATGGTTTTGTTAACAAAGAAGAAATGAGGGTGGGAGCGGGATCACCACTGGCTAGGCAGCCAATGGGCCTGCATAGACTCTGCTCCGCTGAGTCTCCAGCACGACCATAAGCTTCTCCTCCTCATCCTCCCAGCCCTACTCTCTCCCCCAGCTTGCTCAGCAGGTGACCTTACCGGCTCCCTACTTGTTGAGGGAAATAAGAACCAGACTGGGGGAACTGATGGGTACAGAGGCCCAGGTGTAAGGGCAGGACCCAGGGCAGTGCAGCCTCTACTGAGCCAGGTGGGTGAGGGTCTGGAGAGTGGGCATGGCTGCTGCAGGCATGGATAGGAGGCGCAGATGGCGGCACTCCCAGGGACCACCATCAGGGTCTCCGTATGTGGATGTGTGCAGAGGTGGGTGCTGAGGGAGGAGGAGGTGCAGGGAATTTCTCATCTTCTCTCCACTGCCTCTGAGTTGGAGATGTCAGAGGGAGCCATGGCCCCTCTGTGTAAACTAACACAGTGTCCCCACCCACAGGGTTAGAACCCCTCCCCTGGAAGCGGCTCTGAGGGGAGCAGTCACATGTGGAGAGTGCAGGGCACTGTGTCCAGCCAGGGGGAGGTTGCCCCTCTTCTGGCCAGGTGGCTGCCTTCTGACACACCAGCCTCTCTCTCTAGCACGGTGGCCCCCACACACCCAGCCTGTCAAACCTACAGCCCTCAAGGCGGCTTTGGCCAAATGAATGAACAGCTCCGTCTCCCAGGGGGAAGCACAGCTGAAGGATGCGGAGGGCAGTAGAGTTGTGGATGCTCCACCCCCTCTCTCCACAATCGGACCGGAAAGAAGGGGGCTTTCAGCCAGGCTCACCCAGGCTGGGGTCTGAGTGTCACTGTCCAACTATTGGCCTCTTGCTTAACAGGTGAGCCCAGCTGCTCCTGTGCAGCTGCCACCCTAGTGACGGTGAACAAGCAGGCGAGTGACATTTCTGAGAGTTGGGGTTACAGGAAAGATTAGGCTGTGGGCTGCTGGGCCAGGAAGGGGTGTTTATTTTCAGGGTTTGTTTGTCTATTGACTTGATGAGGGAGGGTTATAGGCACAACCAGTTTAAGGATGGAAATTTTGAGAGAGCAGGCAGGGACTTAGTGCTGGGTAAGGCAAGCAGGCTTCTCAAAGCAGCTCTTTTGGGGAGGCCAGAATCATGTACCAATGTCGTCAGCAGGTTCATCAGCTGCTGGGGGAGTGCCGGACAGGGTTAAAGCACAGGAGAACTTTCTGGATGATAGGAATATTCTGTATCTTCAAAGGAGGTGGGATACATGGGTAAAGCATTTGTTGCAACTGATCAAAATGTAAAGCAGATGTGTGCATTTCACTGAATATAAGTTATACCTCAAATTAAAAACATTTTTTAAAAGACAGATGGGCCAGATGCAGTGGCTCACGCCTGTAATCCCAGCACTTTGGGAGGCCGAGGCGGGTAGATCACCTGAGTCAGGAGCTCGAGACCAGCCTGGAAAACATGGATAAATCCTGTCTCTATTAAAAATACAAAAATTAGCCAGGCATGGGGACACAGGCCTGTAGTCCCAGCTGCTCGGGAGGCTGAGGCAGGAGAATTGCTTGAACCCAGGAGGTGGAGGTTACAGTGAGCAGAGATCACACCACTGCACTGGAGCCTGGGCAACAGAGCAAGACTCCATCTCAAACAAAGCAAAACAAAACAAAACAAAACAAAAAAAAACAGAGACAGATGAAGGTTTTCAACTTACACTAAAGGCAGAGTAGCTTGTTACAGATTAACCTCCCCACAAGAGCAGTTAGAGAAACTGGACAAAAATGTGCCCCCACCACCAAAAACAACTGTTTGAAGGTAATTGGAGACCTCAGTCAGGACTTGAGTGACCAGGCCTAGGAGGTGACCCTGACAGTCTGTAGTGCTTTTCCGACATTTGGTGATTGGTTAACAGTAGAGGGCTAAGAGGTTAAGAAACTGAGTCTGAAGTGGTGGTTAAGAGGCTGGAGAGCCTAGCTGAATGCTTGGCACTCACAGGGCTGAAATGACCTAATGAGAATTTGGGTCCCAGTAAGGAGATGGGACCTTGGTGGGAACCCTGGAAGGGTCACCCCTAGGAGTCCAAATGAATAAAAAATAGACCAGCCGTCACAAAAACTAAAACCTGCTTTGAACCAGCTTAGTTCCAAACTAGATGAAGGGGATCCGCGCTTACTCCAATTGTGTGCCATAAAGTCAAAGTCAGTACTCTCTGGAGGCAGATAAAAGTTTACTAGCAACGCCATAAGACAAGACAAGACTAAATGAGAAAGAACAAGAAAAAAAAAACAATAGAAACATACAAGAAAACAACCAATACAAACATACAAGAAAAAAACCAATAGAAACATACATGTAAGGAAGATAAGGAAGAAAGATTTTTTTTATTTTTTATTTTTTTTTGTTTTTCTTTGTTTTTTTTTTTTTGGAGACGGAGTCTCGCTCTGTCACCCAGGCTTGAGTGCAGTGGCACGATCTCAGCTCACTGCAACCTCTGCCCTCAGGTCTGAGCGATTCTCCTGCCTCAGCCTCCCAAGTAGCTGGGATTACAGGCATGCGCCACCATGCCCGGCTAATTTTTGCATTGGCCAGGCTGGTCATGAACTCCTGACCTCAGGTGGTCCATTCACCTCGGCCTCCCAAATTGCTGGGATTACAGATGTGAACCACTGTGCCTGACCAGTATTTTGCCACAATTTAAAATAAATAAAATTTTTTTTTTCGGGTTTGGGTTCAGACTATATTCTAAACAGTCACATGGCAGCTGACTCTTCTCCAGGCCTTGCTGCCGGGTTTTACATGTTTATTGTTTTTGCCTTCTTGTCATGTGCTCGGTAGATGGCAGCTTCCAGGTGCTCCTAAGGGGCCAGAAAAGAGAGTGAGAAGGCACGGAGGCTGCCAGGTCGTCCCCCTCAGGGCCCTACTCCCATCAACTCCCTCAACTGGGTCTCCTGCAACTATTGGGGGGCCATCTCGGCCACCGCTTTGCCCTGAGCTTCCTGCTGCTGCAGCTGGGCAGAGCCTCCTTCTCAGAGGCCGGCTGCTGATAGGCGGCCACGTACTGCTGCAGGTGACCCAGGTAATGGTCTCGCTGCTGCTGCAGACTCTGAGCCTCTTGGCTCTTCAGCTCCACCTGCAGGATAGGCGTCAGGGTAGGCAGTGGCTGGCTTCCAGATTCTGGGCCCATAAACAGGGTGGCGAGGGCACAGTGGGGCTCTGTTATCTGCCCAGGCCCCTGGCCCCTGGCCCCTTCCTCCAGGCCTAAGTGACTGCCTCCCTTGCCTAGAGGCCCATGCCTCCCTCCCCAGCCTCAAATCTCACACCCTTCTTCCCGCCATTTAAACTGTAGGCCACAGACTGGTGGAAAAGCAGAGGGAGCCAACCACCATCTGCTAAGTTGTGGTGAGGTCGTTGTGTATGATCTCCAGGGTTTGCACCCACCTCTGCCTGCTCCCCCAGAGCTCGTCCTTCTGCCCCAGCTCCCCCAGCCCCCCCAGCCTCTCCTCCAGTTCCTGTAGCCTCACCTCCTGCTCCTGCATCTTCTCCTCCTGCTCTCGCAGCCTCACTTCCTGCTCCCGCATCTTCTCCTCCTGCCTCCGCATCTTCTCCTCCTGTTCCTGCATCTTCTCTTCCTGTTCCCACATCTTCTCCTCCTGCTCCCACATCTTCTCCTCCTGCTCCTGCATCATCTTCTCCTGCTCCCAGATCTTCTTCTCCTGCTCCCGTATCATCTCCTCCTGCTCCCGCATCTTCTCCTCCTGCCTCCACGTCTTCTCCTCCCGCTCCCGCATCTTCTGCTCCTGCTCCTCTATCTTCTCCTCCTGCCTCCACATCTTATCCTCCTGCTCCTCTATCTTCTCCTCCTGCCTCCACATCTTCTCCTGCTCCTCTATCTTCTCCTCCTGCCTCCATATCTTCTCCTCCTGCTCCTGCCTCTTCTCCTCCTGCTCCCATATCTTCTCCTCCTGCTTGTGCCCTTCCCACAAGAATAAAAATGGCCAATGAGCATATGAAAAAGATTCAAAAGCACTAGAAATCAAAGAAATGTAATGAAAACAGTGAGATGTTCTGTTTAAAGACCAACAAAGATGACAAATGGAAGGGGAAATCTGGAGCTCCGTCCCTGTTGGTGGGAGTATAAACTCAACCAGTTTTCCTACAGGATAATTTGAACATTTCTTTTAAAAATCCTAAAACTGTTTTATATTATTTTCCTCCAGAAATTCTACTTCTATGAATTCAGTGCAAAAATCCTTTCTCGAGTCCATTAAAATGTGTATAGAAGGAAATTCACCTCTGGGGTGGCAACGATTCACTTAACGTACATCCAGCTATTAAAAATGATGATGCCAAGATATATTTCTGCCATAGAAACATGCTTAAAATATAGTAAGTGACGAAAGACCATATATTATGATTCTACTTTTAAAAATGTTTATATGCATAAAAAGCATAAAAAGCAACAAACCAGAAGGTTTTCAGTGGCAAAATTAAAGATTTTTCTTTATATTTTGTCATCCAAATTATTACAAAAAGAATGTGATTTCCTTTATAATCAGGGAGAAGTGTTATTTTCATTTATTTATATTTACATTTCTTTTTGTTTTCTTCTTTTTTCTCCTGTATATATCCCATGTAGGCTAGAGAGCTTAAATCCCTGCCTCTTGAGGGAAATCAGCCCATTTTCTAGGCGTGCAGTACACAAAGCTGCCCCATCTTCCCTTTACTTTTGTATTTTTATTTATTTATTTATTTATGTTGAGATGGAGTCTCACTCTGTTGCCCAGGCTGGAGTGCAGTGGCGCATCTCAGCTCACTGCAACCTCCATCTCCCAAGTTCAAGTGATTCCCCTGCCTCAGCCTCCCGAGTAGCCGGGACTACAGGCATGCACCACCATGCCCAGCTAATTTTTGCATTTTTAGTAGAGAGCGGGTTTTACCATCTTGGACAGCCTAATCTCGAACTTCTGATCTCAAGTGATCCATCCGCCTTGGCCTCCCAAAGTGCTGGGATTACAGGCATAAGCCACTGTGCCTGGCGTGTCATGTTATTTCTAAAAATTTCAGTGACATTTCAATTAAGTTAAATTTAATTCTTACTGACCTGATCTCTTATTCTCTGTTTAATGATATCTTCCAGTTGAAAGGTGTTTCCTTTGTAGTCACAGGTGCTAAAGGAAATACAACATGTATTCATTAGGTAGATATCCACTAAACCACTGATCCTCGCATTGTAGTCCTTAGACCCTCAGCATCAGCAACACGTGGGAACTTGTTAGACATGCAGATTCCTGGGCCAGCCCCACACTTTCTGAATCAGAAAGTGAGGAAGAGGGACAGCTATCTGTGCTTTAATAAACCTTGAGATGCTCCCTGGAGTTTGAAAACCACAGAACTAGAATACGTAGGGTAGTAAGTGCTCATACTTTCTCCCAGGTACCTAGGGACTCTTCCCCTCTTTTCTGTTCTCTTTTCCATTGAAAGAAAATGAGAGCTCAGTTTTACTTAATGAGTATAAGAAAGAAGGCAGTGAGATGACCAGGGTTTCCAGTTAGAGTTCAAAATTTAATCAGTGAACGGTGACAGGATGCAAGCCTTCTGAACAGATTACTGCAAGAAAGCTGACTATAATCTATACAGCAGGTATCATTAGTGTATTGATGTTAAATTTTTTGGGTGGATTAATGATATTGTGATTATGTAAGAGAATGTCCTGGTTCTTAGAAGATATCTGCAAAAGTACTTAACAGTGAAATGCTCTGATACTGGCAACTTACTTTGAAATGATTCAGGGGGGAAAAGGGCACATATACAATCTTCCATACGTGGAAGAGAGAAAACAAATATGACGAAACATTGATTTGCGAGTCCAGTTGAATAGCATACAGATGTTCACTGTATTATTTTATCAACTTTTCTGTTTGCACGTTTTTGAAATAAAAAGTTGATAGAAAAGAAACATCACCCCAAGTCTTCCTATGAAAGGGAACCACAGGAAAAGCACAGAATTGAACATTCTGCAGACGAGCGCACCGTACCCATCCGGACAGCATGGTCACAGCGCAGGGTCCCCTCCAGGAGGCTATTCTCTGGTCTCTTCTGTGCTGTCACTTCCCTTGACGCTGCCGAGGCTTTTTTTCTAGCAAGTCTTTTTCTAAAGGTGTAATTTTTTTCATTCATCTAAGAGAGAGACAAAAGGATTAGTATACATTTAGAAAATAAAATTACACTTATACTTGTGTAAAAGCGAAAAACACTGAAAAGTCAGGAAGCAAGAAATGTACTGTTCTACAATTCTGTTCTTCCCGTCTTTTTATTTGGCCAATGACTTCCTATTCCTGCTGCCTATGGTGGGGTGAGTTGCAAATGATTTCTTTACCTCATTGATTTAAAATGTCATGCTTATAATATACTAAACTCCCCCAGAAGCATTTGGGTTTATTTCTGGGCGCTATTCTATTCAAGTGATCTATCTGTTCACAAGCCACTTATCAATCTTCGTTATTAGAGCATCCTAAAGTTAAGTAATCTTTTTTTTCTTTCTTTCTTTTTTTTTTTTTTTTTTGAGATGGAGTCTCTCACTCTGTCACCCAGGCTGGAGTGCAGTGGCGCAATCTAGGCTCACTGCAAGCTCTGCCTCCCCGGTTCACGCCATTCTCCTGCCTCAGCCTCCCGAGTAGCTGGGACTACAGGTGTCCACCACCACACCCAGCTAATTTTTTTGTATTTTTAGTAGAGATGGGGTTGCACTGTGTTAGGATGGCCTGGATCTCCTGACCTCATGATCCGCCTGCCTTGACCTCCCAAAGTGCTGGGATTACAGACGTGAGCCACTGTGCCCGGCCAACTCTTGCTGTATTTCTTACCATTTCTACCATCTCACCATTTTGTTTAGACCGGCTTAACATAGTGTGGCCATGGCTCGCAGACTGAGAGGTGCAATTCAAGCTAAACATCCCCTTAGGGGACCAATCGATAATGATTCCATAGGAATCGTTGCGCAGCACCTCTGCCTGTTCTTCAATGAAATCTTCCCAAATAAGTACGTTCATTATTTCTGGTCAGGACCAATTCTGTTTACAAATAGGTTTTTGAGGGTGGTATACCTCAATTATAGGAGCAGATTTATTATGGTAATTACTGAGATCACAAAGCATGTGTAAGTGTGTCATACAGTGATTACATCCAGGCATTATTGACAGCCAAGACTGATAAATATGCCCAATGAGTATAATTGTTCTCTGTGTCAGCCCTTGTTGAAGGAATACTCATGACAATGGTGATCACCGCTATCATAGTTACCATTAGATTACTCATTGTGACTGGTCGTCCCGCTTTCCTCAGATTTTCTTCCACCATCTGTGACAGCTTCTTGATGTGTCCCCAGGTGAGTGGCTGTGTTCGACGGGTGTTGCTTGTGATAGTTGGGGTCCTCCTCAGCGTCACTCTCGACATGGTTGCAACCGGGGGGGTCCTTGGGATCCTCCCAGAACCTCTTCCTGGGTATCTGACTCATAGTAAGGCTTTACATGTCTTGATGGCACCCAAATCGGCTGTTGATTCAGTCCTGGAGAAACACAAGCATAACCTCTACCCCAAGTTATTATTTCACCTATTTCCCAACTTTTTATTATCAGATCTCTCCAGCCAATCAGTTGTTCTGCTTCTGTCTTTAGAGCTGGTTTCTGTAGATGCTGCTCAGCTGCTGCTAACATCTGGCCTTTAGGCAGACTCAAAAACTTTTAAGTCAATAATGTCAATAATGCAAGGTTCGATTGCATCTGGGGTGTCCCATAGTCCTTCTTTCTCCCCTTTTGCTTTTGCAACTGCTGTTTCAGGGAGAGATTCATTCTTTCCACTACGGCTTGTCCTTGAGAATTATATGGGTTACCAGTAATGTGTTTAATATTCCATATAGAGAAAAATGTAGCTAGAGCTTGGCTAGTATAGCCTGGGGCATTATCTGTTTTAATAGAAGCTAGAATACCCATCACCGAAAACACTGCAAAAGGTGATGTTCAACACAGGCAGAAGACTCTCCTGATTGGCATGTAGCCCAGACAAAGTGAGAAAAGGTGTCCACACATACATGTACATGTACATAAGCTAGTCTCCCAAACGAGGGAACATGTGTGACATTCATTTGCCAAAGAAAATTAGGTTCCAATCCTCAAGGATTAACTCCTCCCGGAAAAGATGAGGAATGTGCCATTTGGCAAGCTGGGCATTGCTGGATAATAGCTTTAGCTTCCTTCCAGGTAATGCTGTATCTGTGTTTGAGACCAGAGGCATTAGCATGGGTTAAATTGTGAAAGTGTCTAGCATTAGATATTGCAGTAGCAACTAGGCGATCAGCCATTTGACGCCCTTCAAAGGTCCTGGAAGAGGTATATGAACCTTAATGTGAGTGATGTAAAAAGGAAGCATTCTACTCCTGACTGCTGTTTGCAGTTGGGTAAATAAAGTCATAAGTTGTTCATCTGTATGAAATCGTAACTGAGTTTTTTTTTTTTTTTTTTTTTTTGATGGAGTCTTGCTCTGTCGCCCAGGCTGGAGTGCAGTGGGGTGATCTCGGCTCACTGCAAGCTCTGCCTCCCAGGTTCACACCATTCTCCTGCCTCAGTCTCCTGAGGAGCTGGGACTACAGGTGCCCACCACCACACCTGGCTAATTTTTTGTATATTTAGTAGAGATGGGGTTTCACCAGTGTTAGCCAGGATTGATTGTCTCGGTCTCCTGACCTCGTGATCTGCCCACCTCGGCCTCCTAAAGTGCTGGGATTATAGGCATGAGCCACCATGCCC